TTTTTATTTTTAGTAACCGTTTAAAAGAAATATTTCTTTTTAAATAACAAAAATTTATTTCGTGAAAACGTTTATATAAATTTGTTTTCCGCGTTTGGTGATATTTATACTCCATTTCTGTTTGATTGCGCAAAGTCTCACAGCTAAATCAATTTAAAAAATATTTCTTGCTGTTTGACAGCTGACTAATTTTAGAAACTTTGAAACACATGGTCTATTCAAACTGTTTTTGTATTACACGTTGGTAATGCACACTGTTCTTTTAAAGCGACGCAGAAGGTAGGCTATAGTCTTGTTTTTTTCTTTCGGAATAACGATATCATAGATTTTATAAGCATTATAAAGCGCTGTTAAATAGCCTCTGTAAGCACCAGCGACTTAAATTTATCAATGTCGATTCCGGAACACATAAATACTTAGTGACAGGTCTAGTATGCACAAAACCAAGACTTTGCGTTACGCAAAAAGATACATTTTTTCTTGTAGATTTTCTTAAGATTTTGACCAATTCAAAACGGTACTTAAAATCACTGTATTTGTTGGAAAAGGTAGAAAACTAGAAAAAACAAGTGAACATACTTTTGTATACAATTCTTCTAGATTCATTTTCGTCTACTTTACCAAAGGCGATAACTTACCTGTGAAGAAATAACAGCATTATACACGTCACTTGTGCTAAATATAGCAAATTTCAGAAATAGCAGGAAATTCGTATAAAAGACAAAATTAAATCTTCATACATATTTTTTCAGTAGTTTATCAATGACACAGCTCTGTACCATATCAACAGTAAAAACCGCTGCATTTATTGCAGTCTCATTTTTCGAAACACAGGAGCTTCGTGTTCCAAAATGGTTTACCTTATAAAACCCAAAGTTGCTCTTGGACGTTGTTGTTACTTAAAACTTTTTTGATAAAACATTACTCACTATGCAGCTTTAAGCCAACCGTATTTCTCAAATTTTTGAAAATACAGTGTCTGCAAAATAATGATATAATTTTTTACTAATTTTATCCACTAGCTATGTTTAAGTTCACTTCTTTTAGTTTAGCTTATTAGTTAGTACTATTGAGAAACGTCATAACTGCCGATACAGCGCAGTTTGTCATTATAAACTATCATTTTCAGTTAACAACTTTTATATTGCACTGAGTGCAAACATGTTATAATTTTTATAGAAATGTACTATAAAAATCATTATGCATTTATAATGCTTACTTTGACTACAATAATAGATTAGTAACTTAATGTTGAGAGAAATTCTTTTTGTAAAATGGTGAGATTTGTAACGATTACGCACATCAAATGCACTTCATCAAAAATAGTTTGAATTTTGGTCTGAAAAAGAAGTTTGTTGAGTTATTCGCGAAATATAAAACAACTCTTACATTCCTCTTCATTTTATGATATAATTCTCATAATTCATTACTACCATTCGAGTTTATTCTAAATTTTAATGTTCTGTTTGTGAGCGTAACACTAAAAATTAACTAAGTTGGAAGAGAATCAAGGAAAGGGTTTGAAACCAGATCAAAAAAAAAAAAAAAAAAAACGATTATTGTTTTTCAGTCTAAGGCTTTTTTTTGATCACAAGCAGAGATCAGTTTAAAAACAGGTTGTACAGCTTTTGTTCATTTTTCCTTT